GTTTTTGTTTGTGTGTGTGTGTGTGTGTGTGTGTGTGTGTGTGTGTGTGTGTGTGTGTGTGTGTGTGTGTGTGTGTGTGTGTGTGTGTGGACCAGCCTCAAGGTTTATGATTTAACTCATTACAGTGTTTCAATCCACCTAATAAACTAGAATTTTAAGGATCCCGAGTTGGACATTTGTAGCCAACACACTTTGGACACTATTACTCTAAAATGTCTCTAATCTGGGCCCCCACATAGAAACACAAAATGTGCCAGAACAGCTACAAAAACCTTCAACTGCTCAGAAATAAAAAACTTACAGATGCAGTGAGAAGTGAACCACCTGTTTTGTCTTCGCAATGTATCAAATCTTTCTGCACTGCTTCGCCACAATCAGTTTTTAACTTTCCAAGATTTGTTTGCAGTATCACTGTTCCCTGTCTCACAGCTGCCCGCTCTACATTTGGTTTTGGCCTCTGCATTCGACTCCTCATTAGTGGTGCTGGTTTGAGTACACTCTGTTTGCCATCTTCTTGTGATTGAGCTGTTTCATCAGACCTGGAAAAGCATACAATTTTGAATGCATCTCAGATGTTGAAACAATTTTAGAAAATGCAGAGATTCACGTTGTACTCTATCCTGCCACCATGAGACAGTCAGAAGCACAAGGAAGGGCTACAGTTTTACAGCCAAGGACTTTTTACGCTCTTACTCCAAGCACATCGTATAACAAAAGTTGATTCAGCCCCAATCTGAAAAACTATATACTCTCTCAACTACCATCAGGCCCTCACAATTTTATTTCACTCCTTTAGTCAGGTGTTTGAGTATTCGTCACTGATAAATTACTTCCCACACCTTTGAGTGCTCATATCCTTTATAGGGTCCTGTTCATTCCTCTCATTTTTCTACTTGACAAATCTCCCTCACACCCGCCACACCTTACAGGTCTACATTACAGCCATCATCTCTGTTGAAAATTGCAAGAAACATTAAAGATGATGAACAGAAAAAACTTGCTCACAGATAAGAAGCTACATCTTGAAGTATGTGGATTAAGAAACCAACAATAGTATGTTTTCAGTTCAGGATTTAGAGTTTATAAAACTTTACATTCCTTTTGACCAACTGCTATACCTGCTCCTTGTCAACAGTCCAAAATGTGTGTTTTAAGCAACCCAGACTCCTACTCCACTCATTACAAGGCAAAGAAAGAGGGGAAAAAAGATTGCCTCAAAGACATGTAAAAAGAAAAAGCCTTTATATATTCACTACTCTAGAAAACACTGTTAGGAAACAGAAAAACTTGAAAGAGTTGGAGACAGCAAGATTCATCTTTCTGTTCTCTACATACTTACCGAGATTCAGTCCCTGAGACTCTATCATCTTTCTTTGTTGTTTCCACTCTGGGAACATCAGATTTGTTACCTTGGTTACTATTCTGAAGAAGAATAGAAAGTTAAGGTTAATTCTTGTCATATATGTCAGAAGTAATTAATTACAAGTTATTTGTATCAGAGCTGGTGCTCAAATTTATGGACAAGATCTTAGTGACAATTTCATTTCAGCCATAAAAGATAGCTGATCCCACTAACTTTCATAAATGCAGCAGTCTCATGACCAACAGGATGGAAAGCTCTTCGGAGCCATCAACTACTCTAAGTTTGAACAACATCCAGCAAAAGTGATATCCCAACCCGATTAAACCTTTAAACCAGAGGTGGGCAAAATGGTGGATCCAGACAGTGGCCAGACTCCATTTTCCAGCAGCCCCTGCCTGCATCACTATGGCCAGCTTCCATGGAGACTGGCACCGACAGCACTAGCAGAGTGCACAGCTGGGCAGGGAACTGCTCTGGGGCCAGGGCAGGAGCTGGGATCTTGTGGTGGTGACAGCATGGTCTGCATCCAGGGCAGAACTGCAATCCACTGCCTCTATGCCCATGCCCAGAGTATGCAGGCAGCATATCGTGGCTCTGCCCCAGCTCCGGACCACACTGCCACCAATGCAAGATCCTGGCCTCAGCCCTGGCGCAGCTCCCTGCCCAGCCACGTGCCTTGCCAGTGCTGCTGGAACCACTCTGTGGAAACCCTGACCTCCCATTGTCACAGCCCTGGTGCTGGGGTCTTCATGAAAACTGGACACAGCAGTGCAGGCACAGGCTGCTGGGAAATGGAGTCCACCACAGCACCAAACCAGCCCATGGGCCAGACTTTGCCTGCCCCTGCTCTAGACAATATCACATTATTAGTAATTATTATTAGTAGTAATGATTAACAACAACAACAAAAAAAATGTTAAGAGGACTACTGATTTCTGGCCATGTTCAAAGGCTAAATACTTAGAGTAGGACTGACAAAGTATTAAAAAAATTAAATCACAATTAATCGCAAGATAAAAAAAAGTTGCAATTAGTCACAATATTAATCAAACAGTTAAATAGTCAGCACCCCCCCAGCATCCCAAAGCTCATGTGCCCTGTGGCTCCTCTCCACCACCAATAGTGCACAGACCCAGCCCCAACCCCAGCCCACCCCATGACCGCTCTGGACTCACCCCAGCCAGAGTGGACCAGCTGGAATCTGTGTGAACAGCCCCAATCCTGACCCATCCCACGTGACCTGCTCTAAGCTCACCTGCCCACGCTGAGAAGCGGGAGCGACCACACAGAAGCTGCTGCTCAGCACGGAGGAAAAGAGGCCGCTCCTCATCACTGCTGCCCGGTTCTCGCTGCAACCACCTGGAGCCCACACCCTGACTGCCCTGCGGCTCCTCTGCACTGACACCACAGCCTTGCTAGGCAGCCCGGAGACAACAGTGATGGCAACCACAAAGGAGTCCAGGTGCGGGCTCTGGGCAGCTGAAGCAAGGGGGGCCCAGCAGTGGCAAGGGACAGGGGCCACTTTTTCCCCGTGCCAAGTAGCAGCTTCTGTCTGGCTGCTGCTCACCATGGGTAGATGAGTCTGGAGCAGGCGTGGGGCAGGCCAGGGTCAGGGCTGCGCGCACAGGTTCTGGCTGGTCCGGAGCTGGTTCACTCCGCTGGTCAAACCAACGTGAATGACTAACACAATCAAAAAAATTAAAAACGCATTATTTTGTTTTTGCGTTAATCACATAAGTTAGTGTAAGTTAGCCATTTTGCCAAACAAAGTTATTTATTTCCATTTAACACTCAAAAAATACCTTTTCTTCTGTTTTTCCCTCAACCTCTGAATGAAGAGTTTTATCTTCTCTTTCTGCCCGAAGAGGCTCATTCTTCTTTCCAGAAGCTCCTACTAGGTTAGGTTTAAATCTCTGCTGACGCCCTCTCACTGCTGTCCTTTCAGTAACAACTTTGTCAGTCTCTCTACACAAGAGTAAAGGAATAAGGCATTCAAGATGCGCTGACATTTGCTCCATAAAAACATCACGCCTACACAGTCTTCAGTGATGTATACCAACAGTGCTCAACCTTTTTTGCTGGTGGGTCAGATGGAAAGTGACCAGTGGTGAGTGCAGTGGGTCCCATCCAGCTGCACAGGGGAAGGTGGACCCAATCTGACCACACATGAGAAGGGGTGTGACTCAACACGGGGAGGGTTGGGGAGTGGGGTAGGGGAGAGGGTGGCAGTGTTAAGAATTGCCACAGCTCCCCTACCACCAAAATTTCTGGACCTATGGGGAGCCCTGCAGGCCAGATGAAATGGGTCTGCAGGCCACATGTGACCTGTGGACTAGAGGCTGAGCACCCCTGATCTATACAATTTTACTTAAAGATGGACCTTTAACAAAGAACTTAGGAACTTTACCAGCCACATACATTTATTTGTACAAGCACAAAATCTTTAACCTAATCCAGTTAGACTCCCTGAACATCTCATTGTTGGATTTTTCAATCTGTAATAGGTTCAATTATCACTAAAAATAAAAATGTTCCAAATGAAAAGAAAAGGGCTGCTGTTCCATGAAGTAATGCCTTTTCCATTTATCTCAAGACAGGAGGGCACAATTTCCCTGCCTTTCCTTATTTTCTGGGAACCGCAGAGGCCTTTTTAATGATTCATACTTACCTCTGCACTTGGAACTGCTATGTGTCACTAGATTAACCTCTGAAAGGTATTTTATAACAGATAACTGTTCTTTAGTTGATCGATCCAATAATGTAGCAGGGGGTTTAGAGCTGAAGTCAAACAGAATGGGAATATGATACTTACTGAGATTCAGTCTCCGAGTCTTTGTTTTCTCTTCCTGTGGTTTCATCTCTGGCAACTTCCAACATCTTGCCTTCACCATTGTCCACAGAATCCTGGAATTACAATACAAGGCATTAACCTTTTTACGAAAGGGATAGATAGCTCAGAGATGGTGTGTATTGTATTAACTAACTATCTGGTGCAAGTGATCAGTGGGGGTCCCTAGACACAATGCAAAACATTTAACAGTTGAAGGGAATATTGCTGCTCCACACCTTTTTTGCTCCTTCCGTAAGCTCTGGAGGGGGAGCCCTGACCTCTGATTTTTCTTGCACTGCTCCTTCTCTCTTTCCAGATGCTCTTGCTAAGTTGGGCTTAGGTCTCTGCAAACGTCCTCTCACTGCTGATTTCCCAGCAACAGCTTTTTCAGATTCCCTTAAGATACAAAACATAACTGTTTATGATTTTCACCAAAGAAATGCATACTTCTGAAGAACACTTTTGATCACAGCTGCATTATCCACACAGGCCATAAAGCACCACAATGCCAGTCAAGTCTCATTACTTTATCTAGGTGTGCTGTCAAGCTGTAATGATCCAAGAAATATACAAGAGGCAAAGATGTTTTAACTTTCGGTGACACAGTTGGTTCAATAAAAGATGACCATAAAAATCTCCCAAATATTTTCTTCGTGGGTACACTTTATTCCCTAATACAGGGGTTTTCAACCTTTTTTAATAAGCGTACCTCCAGCGGCCAGACGCAGAGTGGGAGCTGTGGGGGAGGGGAGGTGGTGCGTGGCCGGATGCAGAGTGCAGGGGGTGGCACACGGCCGGATGCGAAGTAGCAGCAGCATGGGGTGGTGGATGGCAGCAGCTGCCACTTCGTGCAAGCTTCCTTCCCCTCTCCCCCCACCCCCCACCCTCCATCCAACCAGCCAGGCAGCGCCTGTGTGGTGCACAGAGGGGCACCACTGCCCTCACTCAAGGTCTTCCCAAGTACCCCCAGTTGACAACCCCTGCCTTAAAGTACAGGTTATTCAACAATAAAGTCTTAGAAACTGGCTGGTTGCTGTCACACCATGAAGCAATGACTTCAAGGGGAATATAAAAAATTAAACAGCTGCAATAACTTTGATGTGAGGTATATATCCTTCTTTAGACACTAATGAAGAAGTCAACTATTGGGTTTTTTTGTTCATTTGTTTTGTGGGGGGAAGGAAGACAGAGAGAGAAGGAAAACCAATTTCAACAGAAATAGATCATGTTTGCAATGGACAAATATACATTCAGAGCAGTATAAGAAAGGGAGGGGCATCTATTAACACTGTAATACACACTCACATGTATACAAGCTGGAAGTGATAGAGATGAATCAAAACTGCTCTAACTTTAACCCTGCTTCATCCAAAGCTGCAGCTCAGCAGACAACAGTACAAAGCAGAACAATTTTACTCACGTTGTTTCGGACTTTGTATCACGGCCTCTTCCTGCTGCACCTGGCTCACATAAATCAGATACTTCATTGTTCTGTACAGGAACAAAATGAAATTTTGCACTTTTAATTCCTGAAACAAGGAAACTCTTGCTAAAAAATAAATAGATGCCGGTGCCCAAGAGAAACTTAAAGCAAGTCTTTTCAGTTATCCTGTCCAAGGAAAACTTGGAAATATACTCCCACAACCAGCTTTCAAGCTATTGATGATGATAGTGTAGTCTTAAAGTAATTATTCCATCATTAGAGAAAACAAGGATCATAACAAAGCAGAGTTGCAATGTTATATAGAAAAAAAAACTACCTTGTTCAAAAAGGAAAAAAGTACTTTAAACCAAAAATGTATTTTCCTTTTATGTATTTTTTAATTCTATAAGTACTATTAAGGATGATTTTGTTTCTTGTACTAACTGGTTTGTTATAAAACTTTTGCATAAAAAAAAACGAACTCATTTAACTACAGTACATCTAAATGACAATATAAATACATTGTTAATACAGACACAAGTGATTCGGATTATGAAATTTAGAAGAGTCCTGGCTTGTCTCTATATTATTTCTTTTTGAAAAGCAGCATACTTAACACATTTTTTCAGGTCAACTGAATATCTAGTTAGTTGTGGTTTGGTAGGTGGGGGATGGGGAGGGGAGGAGTTAAAGTATTTTTCAAGTAGTCTATTCCACCCCACCCACTTAAGTCTCAGTGGTATAGCAGGGCAAACTGAGTTATGCTAAGGCTCTAAGCCAGAGTCTAGGTCTTCCTGGAACTAAGCAATAAAATTTTACAAAGTGCTTTATAAGACAGTGGAAAAAGTAAGTGCTGTGATTGGTACACTGGGCGAACCAGATACAACAGTTTCTCTATAAGAAAACAAAACCAAAAAATTAGTAGGATTGGAGTACCTTATCTAAAAAGATACGGTATGAAACCTGAGAATTGGACAATTTGGGATGAAAAAGTTACAAAAGTAATCAACAAAGGAAAGGCATGTTGTTGTGCTTTAACTCTGGGGAGACAGAGGCAGCCGTGGTTTATCTACTCAAACAGCAGGGAAGCCAGAAGCAAACATCCCACATACCCAGCAGAGGACCCAAGGCCTGGCACACCCAAAGGTCATAATGTCTAAAGGATGTGGTATTACATCAGGTCATATTACAGGTAGGAAACCTGTAATAGTGCCTAGGGATTATTATTAAAGTTCACTTGATACCAAATCGGATGACTTGCCATGTCAATCTTTGAGAGGCTCTGGCAAAAAGAATCCTGTTGGTAACAAGCCTGCATGCACTTTGTGACAAATGGTTGCAGGAAGGCTCCAAGACACCGTGCTTTAATGTTGAGATTTGCCAATTTCATTTTGGAGATTTAAAAGTTTAACCACTGCCTTTTAAAGAAGTAATTTTGTTCAGAAGTGAAGCCGCTTAGCATAGTAAGACTAAGGAGACAGGAAAAACATTTATCAAAACATCTGTCAATTTACTTAACTTTCACTAAATATTTCCAGGTTTACTGTCTTTTACATGTCAAATTGCATCTAGCTAGGCTATGTGACTTATAAAGTGAAAACTTTATTACTTGGTCTGTTGATCACTATTGGTATGAAGATTTCTGGAAACACAAAAAAGAGACTCAAAAAACAAAGATACCTTTGATTTAGTGGTTTGATCACTGCTTCCTTGGTTTCTGTTAACCAAAACTTGAGATTTTGAAAGCTGCCATTCCTGTGACTCACTGGTGATTTCTGGTTCAACAGGTTCTGCTTCTATTAACACACTACTACTACCTTGAAAGCTGAAAATAATGCATGAAGAGAAAAGTATAATGCAGGGTCAGATGAGTTTGATGCCCCTGATTCAGAGTAACTTGAGCAGTGGTCTTCAAGGAAGGGAATACATTGAAGGTACAAGTTAAAAGCAGGTGAATCCAAGAGCAAACCTTGACAAGGGATGATCCTGCCTTGAGCAGGGTACTGGCCTAGATTATTTCATGAGGTCCCTTCCAACCCTACATTCCTAGGAACCCAAGTACTGGAGAGAGAAGAGAAGGAAGATCCCATGTATTTGGGCCAGTGAATAGACTTTTTTTTAAGTTAAACCCTTGCTGTGTATATGCCTCTATGGTACAAATTACCTGTGTAAATCAAAATCACTATCTTCCTCAGTTTCATCATTCAGTTGTAAGGAGGAATCTAAGACTTGCTCCACTTGAACAGGAGTCTCACAGAGCATTTCTTCATTATGAATACCCAGTTCCTCCCTGCATTCAGTAGAATCATCACTGTTTGTGCCAGATGTATTTTTTTCTGTTAACAGATAAATATATTTAAAATACACAAATCTCCAGAAATTGTCTAGTAAAAACTATCACCACTTAAATACCACAGTTTTCAAAGCAGTTTGAAAAGCCCAATTTCAGAGCCCTCAAACTGATTTCATATTCAGGAAGTGCAGAACACATACCTTCACATTCACACAACCTAGCCACTAGAGGTGTCTTTCTAGGCACCCCAAAAATCATTTAGAAAATAGCTTATGTATTAGTTGAAAGTCTGAAACTAATTTCAGACTAGTTGCTAGAGCTTCTTTCTTGAAAGCAGAGTTAAACAAGGGGTCTAACAAGGTATGAAGTTTAAAGATTATCTTAAAGATGAGCACCTCCCATTGAGTAAATATCAAATGTATCAAATAAACCTTCTTCTGAAAGCCACTCTCACTTTTCAGGTTTTGGAGTCTTAATTATACATGAAAAAGGGCCAAGACAGTTAAAAAATATTTTAAGCATCTCATTAACTATATTAATGAAAATTAATCTAGGTTGTGTTTACTTTCATTCATGTAATTTGTTTTTTTTTGCAGTTATTTGATTTGGAATTTCAAGATAATTATACTTTTCATCTCTCATATTAAATATAACGATGCAAGTCTTACATTACAAACATTTCTAAAATTAGAACTATATCTTAAAATCTCAGCTGAACATGCTGACCTCCAACCCTTCTCATTCCTTTTGTATTTTTAATGAGCAGCTGTTTAAAGTTTGTTAAAGAACATGAAATTCAGATTTGGGGCCAAAATTCCATGAGTGTCTATGACAGAGGCCCAGCCCACCTATGCAGGCTACCCTGTCTTTCCTGCCGCAACTTGGTGTAATAAACTAACTGATAAGTGTGGTAGGCTGCCCATTAAACGCCCCAATGCCTAGGGTACCGTACATAGGCTACATACCACCCCTACACTGGTGTCTCATGCCTTGCAGATGGCCTCGCAAATTGATAACAGCTCTGGCCTGCGGTCAGGCTAAGCTCTGCTCCTTGCTGGGCCTCTAGCAATCCACTCTTGCACTCCGCCCCATCTCACAGGGCCTCATTCATCCTGCCCCTCACTGGGCTACTCGCAACCTGCCCTGCTCCATAAGGAGCCCCCTCGAGCCATCAGGCTTAAGTGCTCCCACTGCAGCTACTCCACACATAGTCGTTCAGGTTGCTCGAGCAGCCGTACTCTACATGGTACTGGTCTTATACCTCACACTGGGCTAAACTCAGCTGTTAGCCCCTCTCCAGAGAACTTGCTCCTGTTGTCACTCGTGGCGGTTGGCCCATGTGCTGCCCTTCAGCCACCCCTGCAACCCTACTCAATTCAACCCTGGTGCAGCCCTTCAGATCACCCCTGCAACCCTACCACACACACACACACCCCTCCCTTCAGGTACCCCTGTTGTGCGGGCCCTTCTATACACTTTCACCCCCTCACTGGGGCTCAGGGTCTTATACCCCACAGGCCAAGGTGTCCACAGACGTGCCTGGCCCCACTGCTAACTCTCTACTCTAAAATTACCCACTGGGTAGTGGGAGCTGGGGCTATAAGACCTACCCACCTTTCACTGGGAAGGCAACTGGTCTGGCATTTCTGGAGAACTACCTCACCACAGGTAGTCCCACCAGGCCACCCTTCCACAGCACAGTGCAGTTTTGGGTCATAACCACGACCAGGAGCCTCCTTCCATCCCTATTAACTCCTACCCTTACCTCCCAGGGGTTCCTTAGCAGCCACTCAGCTGAGTGGTGTCTTTCCAGCTGCCAGCAGACTGCTGGCTCAGCACTGTGTGCTTGAGATGAAATGGGGGCTGCTCAGTCCCCTCCTCCAATCAAACAGCCCTCCTGCGGTCATGTGACCACCACATCAGGACTGGCCCGCATCTGCCGGCTGCCCTGCTGCCACTCCAAGCCCTTAAAAAGTGGCAGAAACCAAAGGTGCTCTGCCATAGTGTCCCTTTATAAAAGTTATGGTATTGTTCCTTTAAAGAGATTTATGAATTCTTGACGTTCTACTATATTCTCTGCCCTTTCAAGAATAGTTTCAATATAATGTTATGTAGCTTAGGGCTTACTTGCGAGACAAAAGTGGTTAAAAAGCAAACACTACATAATACTGCCACTATAAATGAGCTACTCAGAGGACCAACAGAATACTTCTAAACATTGAGCAGTTACGATAGCCCTCTTGCTTAGGAGATGTTTTAAAATCATGCTAACCTCTGTCAGCACTCACACTTCCATTTTGTTTCCAGAGACAATTCAAGGCACTTTTACCTATAAACCTTCAATAACTTGGTGCCCCTGGATACCATACAAAATACAGTTTGTGCAGCAAAATGGAAATTCAACACAAATAACCCAAAATCACTAATTTAAGAAAGGAAGGAACCAGGTGTCTGGCATTCTTTTGGGAGAGACTCTTAGCTGTGGAACACTTCCCCACTTTGCCTTGTAGATTTCCTAAGCCCAGTACAAAAAGCCACATGGTTCTCCTACACCTCTGGGAAGAAAGTACATTAGATAAGAGGTAGTAAGCTAAGAGGATGGTAATTGTTAAGACTAGATTTGAATGAACATATTTACAGCGTTTTTATTCTACAAAAGGCTTACTTCTTGTGATATTACATACACACACACTTTAATACCATACATGTACCCAGAACAAAAGTACTTTCATCATCTAAAAAGTATAAGAGCATCTGCAGGCAGGACAATACAAAACAGCATACTAAAACGATACCACCAACAGCAGAAAGAATTGTATTTGAACAGTTTAGCTTCTTACGTTTCCCGCTGGATTTTTCTCCCTTAGCTGGTTTCAAAATAACTGCTGTCTCTTTCGCAAGAGTCTCCATGCCCTGATCAGAATTCTTCTTCTTTTGTTTTCTTTTTACCATAGCCTCCGATGTGATCTGTTCTTCTGTCAGCTCAGAAGGATTCAAAGAATCCTCATTCTCTTTTTCAGCTATCAAAGGATCAACTCCTGTTTCCACATCAGAAAGATTCTCAAGTTCCTTTTCAAGATTTTTCTTCTTCCGCTTTCTTTTCTTTTTTGGTACCACTAGCCCGGATGCAATCTGTTCATCCACTGGTTCAGAAATATTTACAGTTTCTTCATTGTCTCTCTCAGCTGTCACAGCATCAACTCCTGTTTCTGCATCAGCAAGATTCTGAAGTTCCTTTTCAGAATTTTTTTTCTTTCGCTTTCTTTTCTTTTTGGTTACCCCTGGCTCTGACAGGAGCTGTTCTTCTGCTGGTTCAGAAACATTCAAAGATTCTTCATTCTCCTTCTCAGCTGTCACAGCATCCACTTCGGTTTCTGCATCAGAAATTTCGACATCCTCATGATCTTGATCATTAGCAGCTTTTTCATTCTCAGCGTGAGCTACTAAAGACAGTACAGTTGCAGGTAAATATACAAGTATTATAATCTATGAATTTATTTAAAAGTCTACTGGCATTGTTGATATTTTGCCAGACACAGCAGCAGGACCATAAAGAAATGGAAAATCCTCACAGCGGCAACACCAAAGGCCAAGTTCTCCATGGGAGTAAAACATATTCCTCTACGATCATTGCAGTGCAAGGGCAACATTTTTAATTAAAACAAGCTGTTATACTTTTTAGGCCTAACTATTACACTGTTATTTTTAATTTTTCTCTGTAAAAGTAAGTCTCCCTTCTTCTTCCATTCCCCTTTTTCACTCCCCCACCAGCCAAAAAAAAAAAAAGTTTTGCTACCGCTATAGAGAAACTACTTACTTGTAGCTGTATTAAACTAGTCTGAAAAAAACAAATTTGATACATTATTTGCTTTAATCATTTTCTATAATATTCTAATTCTAACACCTAGAGCTCACATACTTCTAACTAGATTGTATTTAAGAGAGAAAAACTAAATATTTTAAGAGCTTAACTCAAGCTACCTGAGGCACCAACAGCCCTAATCACCATAAAAATCTTGGTGATGTCTGACATACTTCACACAAATCAAGTACCTTGTTTTTAATTTGCATTATTTTAATATTCTTTAAATGTGTTGCTCCATTATAAGACAAATCTAAAAAAATACAGCATAAGTGTCAAGAGCTGTATGTAATGGATGGAAAAAACGTAACTGTGGATTAAAGTATACACCCAACTCATTCCATAGCCACATTCAGAAACAAAACAGCCTAATTTCCAGTAACTCATACCCATAGCCTTTGTAATAAAGCATCTGAAGAAAACTCAAATTTTTAAGACCCTAGTTTCCAAGGCTCTCTGTCATGCCTTACCAACAAGTCTTCACATAATGATCTTAACAAGTATGCTTAGGCTGCAGGCAGACATTAAGTCAGTCACACAATTGGGGGCTGAGGAATGTTATGCTCATTCCCCAAATTACACAACTTGCTGTGCCACACATACTTCACAGGTCATGCAATATCAGGAGCATAAAATTCCTCAGACCCCAAATGCATGACTATCAACATGGGTGGGAAAGAGAAGGGGTCATTAGCTTGGAAGCAGGAAGTTGCCTGTTCCCCAGTTGCACTCATTCCAAATGTGAAAGTAGCAGTTGGGGAGAGGAGCTTCCCACACCACAGGTGTCATTTCTATAGATGCATACGTGCTTTATAAAACATCTGGGGTGCCATGAGCCCAACACTGGGGAGCCTTCCCCTGATGTCAGGGGTCACAATGCCACAGACCTTTAAAAAGCAGGCTTGCAGCTGTGAGCACTGGCTGAATGCCTGCCCACTTTTAAGTTCCCTGAGCACCATAAACTTGACATCAGGGAGAGGGTCCTTGATATCAGGCTCACTGTGCCTGCATAGTGCAGCTGGGGATGAGGGAGCTGCTGCACGGCACAGGTTTAGAGGCACCTGCACAAGCAACAGGGGATGGGAAAGCATCTAAAGAAATCAACAATCACAGAAACCACACGGAAATGAAGGACCTTGACTGCCTGATGATAAATATTAATATGAATTAATGAATAGCCTGTGAAGGTATTTATTAACAGGTCAATTAGAACTCTTCAATTATTTATTAACAGGTCAACTGAAAAACAGACTAAGGAGACTGAACCAAAAGTAACCTGGATAGGTTTAGCATCTGATAAACTAGTTATTGCCTACAAAGCTTACACCTCTCTGTACCAGTTACTCTCTGATGTGCAACCCTACCCTATCTTCTGCCTGGATAGTATGGTCTTTCACTAGAGTAATAATACTGGCAAAAGTATTTAAAGTACCTTTTTGCTTTTTCCGAGCTTTTTGTGGCTTCTTTTCTTTTGATCTTTGACTTCTAATCACCTTTTGTTTCCTCTTTTCCTCATCTGCTAGAACTTTCCCAAGCAGCTGTGCAAAGAATTCAAAGTCAAATGGCTGCTTTTCCTCTGTCCAATTAAAACAGGGAGAAAAGTTGTCATTGCTGATAAAATGCTCTAAGTTTCTGCTTTTGTGAAATAAACAGTTCAGTGGAGACTGCCGTGATCAACCATTACATTTCATATTCTTCCCAGTCAATTGCTCCTTCTGTATATTTTTTCAACAGTAATTATACAGAAATAAGGAGTAAAAAAAAAAAAAATCACAAGTTTTGTAATTTAGCTTTAACAGAAATGAAAAACAAATCTTGCATATTTAAGCACTTGAAAGATTAAGCAGCAATGAATATTCAATTTGTACCACAACTACAAATTGTGAACTACAATGTGCTAGGGACCACGACATACCGTTACTTCTATGTAATATAGAAAATGCATACATAGTATTGTAACTAAAGATTCTCAGAGTGCTCTACAATTGATAACTAACAGATCCTCAACACTTGTTTGAAGTAGCTTGCCCTCTATTTCCTTAGAGATCAGTATGATCAGCTTTATATTATATTCCAAATTACTGAGGCCTGAAATCAAACTCTTACTCCCAACTTTGCATAGTTTCTAAATTTTAAGTACAAAGCAATAGTTACAGAAACAACTGATACCATTGTTAACTTATTGACTAAAATGAAAAGCAAACAAACACTATACATTTAACTTAAAAAAAAGGCTTACTGAAGGCTTTGTCTATCCTCCATCCATTTGTTTTTTCCTCACGTTTAAACTTGTTCTGGGGGTGGTGAAAAATTATATTAATCTTCCATGAAGCAAATTATATAGTACAGGACTGTCCAACTTCTAAGAGCCAGGGGCTGCATGTCTACAGGGCCACATTAGTGGGGGCTCAGAATTGCATGGACCCCCACCCACCCACAAAAGGCTGCAATGCATGCCTATGCTGGCACTTCTCCCACTACTGCACCACACGCTTGCACCCCTAGGCCCATCCTCAGCTTCCCAAGCTCCATGGGGATGCACTTCCCCAACCCGTGGTTCAGGGACAGGAAACAAAAGCTGGAGGGAGAGAAAGCCTGGAGAGACTCTGTTGGGAGGGGGGGGAAAAAGGGGGCGGGTTGCAGAAATGACAGCCAGAAAGGAGCCCAGGGACTGCAATTTAACCTTTTACAGGTGACATGGAACCTGCAGGCTGCCTGTTGGACAGCCTTGATATAGCATAACAAATGTTTTGAAATACAGCAAACCTGGCCAAGCTATTGCTTTAGCTATGGCAGTGGTTTTCAAACCTTCCTCAACTCATGAAACTCTTTCATATGACATTTTCTGTCATGGAACCCCTACCCTGACTCTGTGGGCCACGTGAGCTGTCACAGAGCAAAGGGACCTGACATGGCCATGCCACACCGCCTCCCAGCCCACTTTGCCATTACCCCCGTCTCTCTGCGGAACCCCTAATGCCCCATCATGGAACCCCAGGGCTCCATAGAACAATTTGAAAACCACTAAGCTAGTGCAAAGTTTGGCCCAGAAAACAAACCTGTAAAATCAAGTCAGTGTTAGTTAAGAATACAACCTCATTATAATGAGCTGCCAGGGGACTGGGAGAAAAATTAAACAGTGTTCACACTGTAATACAATTAGTCACAATGAAAAAAGAAATCTGTTCCTCCTGCTGGGACTGTTAAAATGAAGTTGTACTCTACTAATTTGAAGAAATTATACTAGGTAAATTGGTCCCCATCATATCAAAACATAACAGAGCTATACTTTGAATATTTGCTATACGTACATACTATAAATATTTTTACTGCAAAAACATCTAGCATCAAAAGTTATTAACACCAAACAGATGACTGAAAAAAAGCAAACAAGCTAGAAAAAATAATTACATGCTAGCAGTTGCTTTAGTTATTTCATTGTCTCCTTTATTTTTTTACCTTAATTTCTGATCTTGCTCTATGAGGAAACAGCTGACCAATCAGGGAGAAGTCTGTTCCTACCATGCTGATGGCCAGGAAGAACATATCAGTTTCTAGAAAAAAAAAATTTAAAGACGTACTGAAGACTAGTTGTTTTTTTTATTATACATACCAAAAACGTCACCTTTAAAAGTAATGACAGATGCCCAATATATTCGGACAAACAGAGCTAACTTGTAAAGCAGCTTTTTTGATTCAGAGTGACCTAGACAAATTGGAGGATTGGGCCAAAAGAAATCTCATGAAGTTCAAGAAGGATAAATGCAAAATCCTGCACTTAGGATGGAACAATCCCATGCACCACTACAGGCTGGGGGCTAAGTGGCTGAGCAGCAACTCTGCAGAAAAGGTCCTGTGGGTTACAGTGGACAATAAACTGGATGAGTCAGCAGTGTGCACTTGTTGCCAAGAAGGCTAATGGCATACTGAGCTGCATTAGTAGGAGTGTTGCCAGCAGATAGAAGGAAGTAATTATGCCACTCTATTCTGCACTAGTGAGGCCACATCTGGAGTACTCTGTCCAATTCTGGTTCAGGGACTGGGGCACATAAATTATGAGCAGAGGTTGAGGAAACTGGGCTTATTTAGTTTGGAGAAGAAAAGACAGAGGGGATTTGATACCAGCCTTTGGAACCACCCTTCAGGTAGCTTAAAGAGATGGAGGCTAAACTGTTCTCAGTGATGACAGATGACAGAACAAGGAGCAATGGTCTCAATTTGCAGCAAGGGAGGTTAGGTTGGATATTAGGAAGAACTCTCTCACTAGGAGGGTGGTGAAGCACTGGAACAAGTTACTTACAGAGATAGTGGACTCTCCATCCTTGGAAGTTTTTAAATCCAGGCTTGACAAAGCCCTGGCTGGAATGATCTAGTTAGTGATGGTCCTGCTTTGAGCAGGGGTGTTGGACTAGATGACCTCCTGAGGTCACTCCCAACCCTAATCTTCTATGATTCTATAGATTAGTTCATAGATTCAAAGAGTTTCTGCCAAAGTTAAGACCTAGTGTGGTGAGAGTTTTGTTAGATAGCCAGTAGGGTTATGCTTATGTTCTTATTAAAATCAGTGGACCAAATGTGGCCATCAGGGGAGGTCTGGAGGCCACAGAGGGGTGCATGGCAGGCACTCAGTAGCATTCAGCCTGGCCTGGGGTTGAGTCAGGGGCCCAGGGGGCCAAGGCTGGTGTGCTGCATTAGGCTAAGGCTGGGAAAACAAAAGCCAGGGTCAGGCAGCCAAGCCTGGGGCCAGGGACCAAGAGAATGTGGGCTGGAGCAGGCTGAGGCTGGAAGGGCCAAGACCAGTAGGAAGTCTGGCCTGGGGTCAGAGACCCTGTGGGCAGAAGCCTGGAGTAGCAGTACCAGCCTGGGCTGCAGTTAGGGGCCCAGAAGGCCAAGGGCTGAGAGAAGGCTACAGCCACTGTATGGGAACTAGGGACCCTGAGAATGGAGAGCTGAAGTCAGAGCAGGCTTAAGCCAAAAGAGCCAAATCCCAGAGGGCCTCAAGCAGCCCCCTGCAGGCAGAAATTCTGCTAGCCTGCAAGGGAAAAGTCATGGTTCTCCACATTTTTCTCCTTTAAAGGAGAATCCATTTTTAAAAGTTTCTTTGCAACCCTTTTGTATATCCTTGCAACCCAGTTTTGAGTCATGACCCACAGGTTGAGAAACTCTGGGCTAGGTGGATTAGTTGCTCAGACAGGGCCACCAGGCCCAGCAGACAATTTAAAGTAACATCTGCAAGGCATGGATGTGGCTGTAGGGGTGGAAGGTGGCTATGATTAGCCCTTAAGGTAATTTGGTCCTGGGGGGGCACATACAGGCCCACTTCATACATGAGGGCAAGACTGAGATCAGCTGGGTCCAGGAGGGACCTGCTGGACCAAGAATAAAAGAAAGCTCATTCTGGGGCCCTGGGACAGCCTCCCTTTTCGCAATCTAATTATTTCAAAGGTAGAGCAGGCAAGAGGAAAGGGAGGGTACCCAAGGAGCTGGAGCAGGGAAGGAGCTGCGTGGCTACCAGGGAGTGGCACAGCTGCCCCTGGGGCCCAATCTTGTCACAGGGCCATTAAGTCATCTAGTTTGATCTCCCTTACATGCTGAACCATTAAAACTGTACCTAGCGACTCTTGATTCAAAATTACAGCCAAGTTGCCAATATTTTACAAATTTTGCTAAATATCATGTTGCAAGTCAAGCCTTCTGAAACTAGTGTGGAGGACTCTATGAATGTTCATGTGGGTACTTATATTGCATCGCTGTAGCTTTCAGCAGTTACCAACATAGAGAGCTGATATCAAACTAGATTATCATAAGCTAACATGCCAGTATCTGCTAAATTGAAGTTTACAGCCTTTATCTTTCAATGCACTGAGTGATAAGTCATTTGGTACAATTAGTTTAATATTTGCTTCATCTCATCTTACAATTAGTATTACTACTACGTTTTAAGTAATAATATTACTAATGAGGCAAAATGCAGAGAAATAGTAATGTTATTTATATATTTATTAAACTGACTGTCAGTGAAACCCCACATATTTTACAGTTAAATGAACACAATGATCTCATTAGTTCTGCAGACTTCCAGATTAAAACTTAAACAGAATTTTCAGTGGTCATTTTATCCATTCTGAATACAACAGCAAAATGAAACAAAATGGAATACATATATTTTTTCATTCACAAAGTAGCATAGTTCTAGCAAAAAAAATAAAATAGAAGAATCAGGAATTAATTCTTTAATCGAAAGGCTTTCAAAGGCACTCTTAGTTTTCAGTGCTGTTATGTGCCATATACCCAGGCTGAAAACAAACAGCCAAATTCTAGCAGGCAAGTACATTTTTTTTTTGTCAAAAAGAGGGAGGTGGATGGAAAGGGAGCATGCAAATATACTGCCAAAAAGGATCCAATACCTGGATTCCTCATACCATTCCATAAGGGTTGCATGTAGAAATTATTAGGAAGCACAAGTTATTTTGTCTCCAGCTTGTACATTATGACCCCAAATTCTGGAATGATCTTCATCCTTATGTCATATTGGCACTTTGGATTTGCACTAAAATAAATTCTAGTTCCTCATTTCACCTGGGATTTTTTCTGCTCATTATGCCCCCAGTCCTGCAAACACTTAACTTCATACACAAGAGTGTAGCTTTTGAGATGTACAAAACTACTAGACTGTGCCAGGTAATACAAGCATACGTTTTTACAGGATGACCACCTCAGTCTTCAACAAACTCAAAATACTGACATTAGGAATATGTTACCTTTATTTGACCATGGCTTGGTGTAAATGCTTTTCCTAAAACTGGAATAGGTAGTTGTAGAGCCACGCTCAAAAATAGGATCATTGTCTTCTACTACACTTGGCCCTTTAGTCCTTAAAACTTCCACTGTTAAACTGAAAGAGAACAGAGAAGTCAGAAAATATTTTAAGTGCAATTAGGAGCAATGAAGGTACATTTGGTGTTCGTTGAAAACCTGAAAATTAAATTCTCTATCATACCTGGAGTTCATTCTCATTAAGTTTGGCTCCTAAGGTACATGGGGAGTTGATGAGATTAGCTTCATTAAATTACAGTTAAATTCATATCTATAGAATGTTAATAAAACTTTTGCAAAGCCACACAAAAGAATTTTTCATTTCCCATTGGCTCCACTTCAAATTTCTTTACCAGGAGAGCTCTAAAATAATTTATCAACAAAATCCTCACTCTAAAAATGTATCATGCAAAATTCACAATCTAATATTGCAACATGGAACTAATTTTCTTATGTGGAGTTGAGAAGCCAAATAATGCAATTCCTGCCAGCCATTTCTCCTGGTTTCATTCTGGAAGGCTGACAGTAATTCTGAATTATTTATTGTAATGGATTCTGTAACAGAATCTTGTACCTTTCTTCATCCAGAATAATTGAGCCATCTTCTGCCACTTTCACTCGAGGAACTAGAAGCTGATCATCGTGATTCTCCTCCTCATCCTCTGCCTGAGCAATTTCCTCTTCATCTTCATGAACAGGAGCACTCTTCTCTTCTGATCTACAAATTTGAAAGATTAAATGTTCAACATAGACCAAGCAAGCTGTTTTCACCAACTGGTATGGATCTACTAGATTACTCCATATTAGTCATTCACCAAGAAATTCTATAAATATTTGACCAAGTGAAGAGAATTCCATAATCTGATACAATGTAAATGGATTGCTGAATCCCACAGCAATGGTCAGGACTACAAATAAACCTTATACTGACAATAGGCTGCAGTAACCTTCCTTCAATTACACACTCCCTCTCTCAAAATTATTATTAAAAACAAAATATTACCACAAATAAAGTAATCTACTTCAAGAACTGTAACTGAACACCTAGCTCTTTATGTTCTATTCCTTGGCAAATAATAAATAAAAATTGCTTACTTACAGAAATAAATTTATCAGAACAGTCCACTAGGAACTAGCAAACCAAAAGACCAGAGACATACAACGGACTTACTCTTTCATTTGGCTTGACGCAGAAGTTTTTTCATCTATTAGTGAAGACCTATTAAAGAATACAAGTGTTAGGATAGCTTGTCACGCTTATGCTTAAGGTTGCACCTGCCTGAATGGTGAATTATAGTATTATTTAAAATCTTCTTTTATATTTTGCTTTATTTATCCATTGTTTAATTATTTTGTATAGCCTCATTATTATGTGAACTTTTCATTTTACTGGTGTCTGCAATATCAGCTGCCCTTGAGCTATTCTTCCAGCGTACAGACTCTCACAGGCAGCTTATGGCCTTGAGCTTGCTCATATTTTGTTTTTTCCTTTTTATTACTGTGAAAAGTTTTTCTAACATAAAATAGTAAAAACTTTGTTACCAGATCAGATTAACTGAACTTGACACTACTCAGAGGGATGAAACAATTGGATATGTTAATGGAAGGTGATAAAGAGGAGGTCAGACTAAGACACTAGAAAAAGACCAAATTAAGAGGTGTGCATGTGATGGGTCTGTAGAAACAAACAACTATGTGGAGAGGATAAAATATGGACAGCATGTCCACTGCAGGAAAACCAGTCAACAGTACCCTCAAGTAAAGAGTCAGAGGAGTGAAGTTGAAGAAAAGTATAAAAGCGGGCAATAAGAAAGTTAAGTCTATGTTGTCATAAATCTAGCCTTCAACACCTGCCTGGATTGTCCCAGATGAGGACACACCCTCTGCTTTCAGAGAACTAATTGGTCACCTCTGTTGGGCAGAGTAACATCTGGGATTGGGCAAGATCATTGTACTAAATGCTTTTCCTCTCTCTGTATATAGAAACTGCTAAGATAACATTTGTTTTATTAATAAAACTAGACTTCAGTTGAACTGATATTTTTTTCGCATTTCACGCCATTTCAGGGTTAATTATGCTTAAATGATCCCTTAGTGCTATCTGGTGCTAACACAAGAGATACAATAATACTTACTGATCCACCACACATCTGTTCAAAGAGAATAATCATCACCCCCCCAACTATCTGTTCTTACACTGGAGGAGAACTGATGGAGATATTTATCATCTTTACTAGGGTAACTCTCTACACCAGTGGTTCTCAAACAAAGTTCTGTGGGACCCTGGGGTGCCAGAAGAGACTCTGAATGGTGCCACAAGGAGACAGAAGACAAGCGAGATAAGCACAGGCTCCAATGAGGAGGTAAGTGCAGGCCTTTCTCTTCCAGCCACTCCTACTCCTCCTTTCTTCACCACTGCACCACAGACTCTTCCCTGCTGGTTCCTCCTCCTCAGCCCCTCTTAAAGCCAATAAGCACTATAATAAATTAGTTTAAATGGGTGGTGCTCAACAAGAAAAGCTAAGAAGGGGTGCCTCAAGTCTAAGAACGCTGAAAACCACCGCTTTACATACCAGCACATGGCTAATTGCAATCTATACATACTTTTTACTAACTAGAGTAATTTAAACTTACAGAAACATAATAGATTAAGAGAATTAGTAATAGGAATGAAAACATTTTATTCCTTTGCAATACATCTGAATTCATTACCAGTTGGTAATTCCTGCAAGTTGACAGCTTCTTTCAATGTTTGGTATTCTGTCCTCAGTACATTCTTTGATCGCAGACCACTTGCCACGGGGCCAAGTGGTAGCACTGGCATCTTTACTTTCATCACAAAAGCTTTCACTGGATACAGGAAATGAACAGTCCTCAAGATGGTCTTTTTATTGCTAGAATTAACTATGCAAGCCCTTCCTGCCTACTTGTCAGCTTCTCTCACAAGCATGTACACATGCTTTGTTCTGCACTGCCCATGACATATGGATTAATTACCTATTACCCCGAATTGATGTACAAAGTTATGACCCTCAAGATATACACCTGCCCTAAGAACTATAAAATGTCAACTACTTTATGATGACAATAGCTGTAGCCAAAAAAGTTAAGGGTATGTATATGCACACTAATTTGATTATATTAACCAATCTTTGTTTGCCACTGGGGTGCACGGATAGAGATTTTTTGGGCCGATAATGATGGCCAATTTTTAACGAGCCATATCAGCTGATATCAATCCAATAGCAACTATGCAGCCCTGCAGCATGGAGAGTGGCAGCCGGCTGGTAAGTCTGTTGTGGGGGAAGGGATGGAGGGAGGGAGGAAATGGACATTGGGGGAGGTGCAGATCAAGGCCCCCACAGTGAGGGAGGGAGTGGGGCTGGCACTGGGGCACGCAGTGCCTAGCCAGGGCAGGGTACAGGACAGAGCCATGGCTTATCCGATGGGGTAGCTCCCGCCATTGCATGCACCCTAGGAGGGCATGGGGGGCGTGTGTCCTCCGGATCTGCGTGCAGGGCAACAGCTAGCTGCTACCGTGGGCTAGGGCCGGGGGCAGCACCAGGCTCTTCCCAGCAGGGGCTGGGTCAGGCTGCGCTCGGGGAGGGCGGCAGTGGTGCTGGGAGGTCAGGTTGCGGGGGCTACAGCAAATTTTGGGATGGCTGCAGCCCTTCCCTCCATAACCTCCAGCAGCGCTACCACTGCCCACCTGAAGCACGGGCCAGCACCAGCCCCAGCCCACAGTAGGAGCCAGTCTCATGCGCAGATCTGGTGTCAGACACCCCACCGCATGCCCTCCAAGGGTGTACATAGCAGCGGTAGCTGCCCCTGCCCTGCATCCCCTGAAGGAGCCACAGCTTCATCCCATGCCCTTGCTGGGCTGGGCAGCACCTGTCCTTGCCCCTGCCCCAGCCCCAGCCCCACTCCCTCCCTCACTGTGGGGACCTCAATCTGCCCCCCGCCCACATGCCCCTTCCTCCCCACACAGACTTACCCACCGGACCTGGCTGCTCTCAATGCTACCGGGCTGAGCTTCTGGCTGCCTGCATGCTGCACTGCGGCTGCGCACATGCACGTGGCATTTATTTATAGGCCACATTATTGGCCACGAGCCAAAAAAAGCCAATTGCCAATACTCTCAATTCAATTTTCCTCGTATCGGTACCAATCCAATATGGGACCAACGTATCAGTATACCTCTATTTGCCATTTATCTAGTCACACCAAAATACTTTTGTGCAGAGACCATATTATTAGATTCAGGGCACCTCTCAGACTCAAGGTGCTCTTCAGAAAATGCTAGCTCTTAGCTTTCGCTCATTTTTGGCTGAAAAAAAAAAAGAGCAATTCTCCTGTTGCAAAGAACTCAGAAAGACCATATAAGAGGTCAGAACAGTTTTGACACTACAGATTTGTATTTGAAATCTCTGGGTTTATCTTGTGAATCATGTGCAGGTATTTGCATGCCTAATAGTACTAATATTGCATGGTACCCTTAAAAGGAGCTCACAGCACACCAAGATGACATGGCACCCTGTTTAAGAATTATTGCTTTATATGTTCATGCAGGACCTGGAATGCAAGCCCACCTCCTGATTTGAATACACAGCAGGAAACAGAAGAGCAGCGTCTGAAAGCTTAACGTGCCACTGTACGCAGTTTCTGTTCTGCCTAGAGTGGTGGAAGCTCCCCAGGTGCACCTGGGGAACAGGTTTGAGGCCCTGGCAGCTGTGATGGAGGAAGACAGAGCAAATGCCTCAGGCTGGGACAATGCCACTCCCCACGGGCAGAGATCGAACACCAGCAGGAAGAAACGCCAGGGTCCTCGTCATCGGAGACTCCATCCTACGAGGACTGGAAGGTCCCATCTGCCGGCCTGACCTCATGATGCGGGAGGTCTACTTCATGACTGGGGCTCGGGACATCACGGAGAGGATCCCGGCCTACGTCTGACCTGCAGACCAGTGCCCCATGGTTGTCATCCACGTGGGAACGAATGACGCAGCCAGGGGCAACCCTAACCGCATTATGAAGGACTTTGAGGCTCTGGGGTCCAAGCTTAAGGAGACGGGGGCGCAGGTGGTATTCTCCTCTCTTCTTCCGGTGAGTAGGAGGGGGGCGGCAACACAAGGCCTGCATTGGCGAGGTCAACTGGCACTTAGAGTTGGTGCCGCCAGGTGGGCCTTGGGTTCCTAGATAATGACCTATGCTTTCGGGTGGGGGACTTGCTGGGGCGGGATGGGCTTCACCTCTCCTAAAGACAAGCATGTCTTCTCTTCCAGGTTGGCTGATCTCGTACGGCGAGCTTTAAACCAGCCTCGCCAGGGTGGGGGCCGCAGGAAGACGTGGAGACACCACCCGAGCAAGACAGGTGACACATGCAAGGAGCGCCCAGGTAAGAAACAGGGGTCCAGATAGTCTTCCTAATAGTGGGGTGGCATGCACAGCTATAGCCAGTTCAAACCCAGACATAGTAGGGCTTACAGAATCGTGGTGGGATTCATCCCACGACTGGGCAGTTAGTATTAGGGGCTATAGGCTCTACAGGCGGGATAGAGAAGGAAGGAAGGGAGAGGGTGTGGCACTCTATGTCAAAGAGGAATATACATCCTCTGCCAGCAAAATGGGGTCAGAAGAGGGGCAACCTGAAGTGCTTTGGGTCAAGATACAAGGGGGTCGTGGGGAGAGGGATTTAACGGTGGGGGTCTACTACAGACCCCCCAACCAAGGGGAGAAGGTGGACTGGGAATTTTCGGGCCAGCTTGCACAGGCACTTAAGGCAAGGGATGTAGTTGTCATGGGTGATCTAAATTACCTGGACATCTGCTGGGAGAAGCAGTCAGCCAGGTCAGACCGTTCCAGGAGGTTCCTGGCCGAGATACAGGACCTCCATTTAACCCAGGAGGTGCACAGTCCCACCAGAAAAAATGCCCTGTTGGACTTGGTCCTGGCCACAGGTGATGATCTGGTAAGGGGACTCCAGGTCCTTGACCACTTGGGTGACAGCGATCATCGCTTGCTGGACTTCATCATCCAGCGCAGGGTGACAAGGGTCTGCAGCAAGGCAGTAGCCCTAGACTTCAAAAGGGCCAACTTCAAAGAGTTGAGATTGGTGGGAGAGGCGCTGGGGTTCTTGAGGGCAGGGGAACTCAGTGCCCAAGATGAGTGGTCGTTCCTTAAGGAGACGATATTCGGGGCCCAAGGGGTGACGATCCCAACAAGAAGCACAGGGGGGCAAGAGTGCCCAAAAGCCCCACTGGCTCACCAAGGATGTCTAGGAATGCCTGGTTGCCAAAAAGGCGGCGTACACCCGGTGGAGGGGGTGGGGCGGCGCTATCTCCAAGAGGAGTATACCTCCACTGCTCGGGCCTGTAGGGGGGCTGTTAGGAAAGCTAAGGCGGACATGGAGCTAGGACTAGCATCCAAGATCAAAGATAATAAAAAGTCCTTTTTCAAATATATAGGGAGGATGAAGGCGGCACCGGGAAATGTGGGGCCCCTGAAAGATACGCTGGGCAATCTGGTGACTGCGCCAGGAGAAGGCAGACCTCTTTAACAAATTCTTCACCTCTGTTTTCTTGTGCAGGGATCGGGACTCCCCCACCGTGATTCAAGACGAACTCAAGGGGAACGCCTCAAAATCTAAGGTTGAGGAAGACCAGATTAGAGAGCTTCTGGAGGGGCTGGACGTGTTCAAATCAGCAGGTCCAGATGTTCTCCACCCCAGGGTGTTGAGGGAGCTAGCAGG